GTCAGTTATTTTCGCTGTGTATTTAATTTTTAATGACAAAACGTCGTTCCAGAATTATTTATTTATTTTATATTTGCATCTTAAGAAATAATTGGTTAATATTTATTATATATATTCTAATGTATATTATGGATATTCGTTACTGCAGATTAAAGTAAAAATGTTTCCTGGTTGACTATTCAACTTCAATATTTATTATACATTTTTAAAATCAAATTATTTTTACTAGAATCGAGTCATTGCGCATATACACACATATGTTTAATCACCGTATAATTTTATCTAGCCATAGAGTGAGAGATAATGTTATTTCAATAACTATCAGGAATCATAAATGAACATTCCATCACTTTTCAAACTGTTTAACAAAACTGCTTACGTAGTTCTTAACTAACACAACATAAATATTCACATAATAGTGCTGGAATTAAACTTAACAATTTACCTTACATAGAGTTCTAAGCCACTTTTTTGAAACCGCTAGAGAAAACTGTCGTTTTTAAAAATTTAATCGGACTGAAGCTTAGTCGCGACTTTAGCAACAATAAAATAATTAATCCATTCTCCAGTAAAATATTTTAAAAAATAAGTGATTTATTAATATTTGTGGAATTATAAATCTATGATCCAGAGAGCATGCATGGTGGCCTTCTTTGTTTTAAGACTTACATTTCGGTTAGGATTTATAATATAAATGCAATAATTACAATTCCAACCTTTCAAGTTTTGTTATTGAACTAAAAAAATATTTAAATATTTTCATGTTATTTTCTCACAACAGTATTAAGTATCTATTCAGGCTCACAACCAATAAATACATGTCATATATGATATTATGACATCGTATTAATTTCCCTCAACCAATTCAAAGTCTCAAAGGCAATATCTTCAACCATTCATATGACATGTTACTTCTCCAGACCACTATTTGTTGAACGGAAAGCTATTGTTCCTATGACTGTCCACGTCTATTGAATCTAGGACATTGTCCATACTACGTATGAAAAGACAACCATATACGTCGTTTTATTATTATTATTATATTTGCGCTTTATATTAAAATAGACTTTTGCTGTCAAGATATTATTACTAAAGAATATTAAAAGTAAATATATTTTGATTTTTACATTGTATATAAATCTTTAGGTGAGATTATTAATTGTTAACTTATTTTTAATTCCATTAAAAACAGTCTCAATAATTTTGTGATTCCGCGATTCTAAAATACTATGTTTTATGTTCTACTCATACGATTCAAATCATCAGAAGGGTTATTCTTCTAACGTCTTTAATCTAGCTCACGTATCCTCATAAAACTCTTTATATTTGTCATAAGCAGCATAGCAGTGAAATGCTTAACGATGATTGATGTCATGGGCACGTGTTTGTCATAAAGGTTGTAATGACAGAGTTAAATGCACCTAAGACTGAACGTGTGAAGCATTAAATAATGCAGACCGATCCAATCTGTTTACCATAACGGAAACCCTCTAAAGAATAAGTTGATGTATTACTACTAATAAGATAATAATAAGATACATATAATTAATTTATCATATAACCAACATATGACGTTATTTGTTCGAACTAAATATCACAATAATATCCCTAAGCCCTAGTGACCATTTTTTTTTTCAATCTGTAAATATATATGTTATTAAATAAGTCACAATAACTATACTTACAGGGCTATTTAATATTTATCTTGTTCAACTTTTCAATTAACATCCTTCTTTTACAATTTCATATTATCCGATATATCGATAGACGTGAAAAAAATGATTATCACATTAATCTACATCAATAAAAAAATAAAAATATTAATCTTATATTCATTTCAGGATTTCTATGGGCTAGATAAGTTTTATTTCATACCTTCATTTGACTTCTTAAATATTTTCTTCATATCAGATTATAATTTCTGGTTATACGAAAAATTGTTTCTTATGAAAAAATATTTGATGACGTATTGGTATCATAGACATGAACGATGAAAAGCAACATTTATATATTTGTGTTTTGCCTGTGTTTATTTGTCCTAAAACAATATTAAACGAAGTTCGAGATTTGTTTAGGCTTGGCTGATGCAAATTTGAAGCTTTAGAATTAATTATAACATTAGCGTTGACTATAGAATGTAATATAACTATGTTGTAAATCCCAAACTTCAAAAGGTAAATTTGTTTTTTATCAATACATAAAACATAATTAGAAAAAAAGAGACTAAATAATAAAATTAACAAGTATGTATCTAACAAAATTGAATAAGTTAGACAAAAACTTCAAATAGAAATAAATATTTCGTTAACAGTAGAAACAAGAAAATCTATTGCATATCCATCAACATACTCGTATGTGTAATATTCACATTAGGTATCCAGATGGTAAGCTATGCTTAAATAATGTAATAACACTTATGTTTATAAAAGATTCCAAAGAGAAAACTCTGTGCCCTGCTCCAGAATAACTATTTGTATAGGAACAAACATGTTATATATAACTATCTTAATGAAAAACCATCTGGAAGATGAAGTGCACCATATCAAGTATATTCTCACAGTCCGCAACCTGCCTGTTTTTGCTAGTTATTATCAGATAAAAAATCAATTTGAGAATAGTTTCAGTGATAAATTACATAGAAAACAAAGCCAATTCTAGAACCATTTTTTGGTAAATCTAGAACAAAAAACGGGTGAATATAAAAATGTGAATATAAAGATGGGTGAATATAAAGATGACACAAAAAAAGGACATTTTTCACAATGGTTGTCATAGACGGCATAAACGGAGGAGTGTCGACGAAATGGTTACAGAACATATATCAGAAATAAAAAAAAAGTTTATCAGAGTCACTAGTGTGTGAATGTAAAGTGAACAAGTCTAGCCATTGCATTCTTTTTGACAAAATAGGTATAATAAATAAATTCGTTAATCATATGAATTTAAGATTAATATAATTTCAGTACAGTTTTTATTTTATTTATATAACACCTGGAAACTAAAACTGCAAAACCTGAAAAAAACAGATTAGTTTGTAAGCATTCAGTGCGAAAAAAATCAGTTGTCAATGAATACATAAAACAGGACTAACTGACAGAAGCTTTCGTTTAATTTTCCAGTCCATTCCGTTGACCACAGTCAATGTAAAGTGATAGAATAATCAGGAAAAAGAAGAATAATCAAATATTAGAATTTCAAAACTATAGGTCCATTAAAAAGTTTCAGGTAAAAATAATCTATTAGTTGTTTTATACAATAATCAAGTGCTTGAGTTGATGCATTAGTAGTAACATAAATTCAAACTTTACCTTTGATGAGTGCAGTACGTAGGAGTTAACTATATAATTTTGTATAAAATATATATAACTTGGTATAAAATGAAATTTATAAAAGGTAAATAAAAAGGCCGTATCGCATAATTTATTTATCATCAGCAATATACATACTTCAGAAAAATACAATAAATGATTTATTTAACTTTAGTTCAAATATTACATCATTTTGAACAGTAATAAGATTTTTCATTCAAGAAAGGGTTTCAACGATGTTTTTTGGAAAACAAGACTTATTAATCTCATTACATGCATTCTAGTTATAAATTAATTCTGACTTTCGCAACTTATTTGTCAAGAATATTACTTAATATAATTTAACAAGTTAAACGTAATGTTTTTGTTTTTATTGATATTTTCGAAAATATACTAATAATTGTATAGACTTGGTCGAGTTTGAGCTAGAGTATGGACGATTCTATAATTAATTATGTATCTTACTATATAATATTAAATTTAAGATATTGAAACTTCTACAATATACATTAATATCTTAAATATACTTTAGAATAAGACGCAAAGACTTTATTAATATGAGTAATGATTTGAATGTGATTGTTTGTTCGTTAATTCTTAACTAATTTTTCAACTATTACCACACCCTTTTCACAACACCTTAAAAATAATATTTGATGTTTAGGAAATATTTGGCAATTAAATTTAATATTAATTTTGAAAGAGTAATAATAGAAGATAAGATAGAAAATCTAAACTAGGACTAATACACACTTTCAGTTTTCTATATGATATAAATTACATAAAGAAAAATAAAATGTTCTTGATTTTGACAGAATCTCTATACACAATTTTTTTTCCAGTGAATCTCAGGATCCCTCAACCCTCCCGGGTATGTAAATACCAACAGAGCTAAAGGTATCGTCTTAACTAATGCTTATAACAAGTAAAATAATGAAAAGAAGTGTATTGATTATAAGGAAAGTTTAACAATTGTGAAAAACATTATATGTAATTGTATCACATAAAAAACTAAAAGTGTAGTATATAAATTTGTAAGGAATAAGAGTTAGTAAGGGACGTATTAGATAGGGCAAAGTTAAGATAAAAATACCCAAAAGTAATAATTGAAAAATGTTATGTAGTAAAACTTAAACCTTTTACAGCACTATCACCTACTGTTCTTGTGCACTATTGTCGTTCAAATTTATTCAAGATCTACAATAAAAAAAATTGCTTAAACAATAAGCAATTTTAGGGTCTTAGCCTACAATTTTTACTATAGTTTGTTACAAGAGAAAGCAATGTTTGAGTCGAATAAAACAAATAAATTAGTTACCGTTTCTTAAATAGCACCACACGACTCTAGCACTAATGACTAATACATATATTTATAGATAGATAGATATGAAGAGAAGGATAAAGGTTACTAGATAGATCTACTGAAAAATTTAAAGACAAGCAAAGACTTATTAGTTAGGTTATTTTAAGCCTTAAAATATTAGAGGATATATTTTTTCCTTATATATAATTTACAAGAAGGGAACAAAATGTGTGTTTCTAAAGTATATGAACATTGTTACACATTTTGGCTCTTTATATTATTCACATTTTTCTCATCAAACAAATGAAAGAAACTACACTTTAAAGAAATATAGTTAGTGATAAATAAATTGATATTTTTCAAGAAATGGTCCATCAATATTGAGTCACTTATACATTGGTAATAGTCAATCGTCTTGGACTTCTTGGTCTATTTAAATTTGTCACTGAACCTCGAACGTGGACTTGAACTGATCCTTGGGGCATGTCCACTGCTGAGTGTAGACTTGCGGCTCTCGAAGTTCTTGGGGATGGGGCACATACTCTAAGGTCTACTGCACTATGGAGGCTTGCTGCCCTTGATGATCTCGGCGTGTGAGGCATGTGGTCGGAAGGTGTAATCAAGGCTGGCAGGTCCGCTGCTGAACGGGAACGTCGCGGTGGACTCTCCGGTATAAGGGTCATTCCACCCATACTTCCGACGAATACAGAATTCTAAGGAGACATTTATAAAATTGTGTTTTAATAATGGTTACAATGTATTCGAATAAATGGTAAAAAAAAGTCATTAATACCGGCAGCATGTGAATCTTTGACCTACTTTACCAATTGAGCTTAAATCTTCTAGCTCGATAGGGTGAAATAAACCTTCTTTAATTAACCGTCATTGTTAATTATTGAAATCATACGAGTCAGACTATAATTTTAAAATGAGATTTTTAATTTTTAATCTGTCTTAGTAACTTTACAATTCGAAATATTTCAAAACCATATAAATAATATGAAAATGAAAACAACCATCGTTCTACCAAAAATACTAGATCTTTTTCTATTATTTGTTTAAACTGAGAAAATAATGCACTGTTAAACATAATACATATTACCTGTCGTGGCCGGTGTGAAAGATATCCACAAGGTTGATATGCAGGAAACGATCCTCCATAGTCATATGAGACACAACCACGAGAAAGCGATGCTCGATGCTAAAAATAGACCACAGAAATAAATAAATTGTACAGTTGTACAAAATCGTATTCGTGATATTTATGTAGATGGATCTATTAACTCTAATCTTCTATCTCCATTTGCTTTGATTCAGTGCAAATTAACATGTATACGAATTGAGAATATTATACGTGACTACAAAATGATATTATTAGTAGAATTAATATTCGTTTGAGCTTTCCTTTCAAACATAAAAGTTATTGTCATATAAATAGCATCGCTATTTCTAGATTCAAATGTATTAATAGCTTCTGTCATTTTATGATTGTTCAAAAGTATAAGTAGTATACTTACGTGAGGGGGTACTGAAACAGAATTTTCCGCGAGCACGCAACTTTGACGATGTTGCTGTTGGAATTTGGGTTGATATGGCTCAAGCATCCTAGGAAACAGAGATTGATTTAATTTAATTAAAGTATCATCTAAAACTTTTTCTGCCATAGAAGCTGCTAGTACTCTTTTCATTGCTGCTAATTATGCATATTAAAAAGAAACTTTTGTTTTTTAATATGGAGTTTAAAGTAAGTAGCGTAATATTAATTATACGGTATTTTTCACTTTTCCTTAAAATAAATTTTATTTTATAATAATAGCTGATATTTATTATTATAGGTACACTAGGGACAATCATATTTTCTTATGTTTAAAATTAGAATTTGACAGTAATAAATAAAATTTGATTCAATTTCAAGTCATGTCCCATGCTGTTTAAAATAAAATAAATTCACAAGCAATACAAAAGCAAAATTCTACGTACAGTTTATAGACACACCTGATCTTGCCCCAACGGTTGAAGAACAGAGCTATAGCAGCAACCCAGAGTAAGAGAACGAAGGCAACTATTAATGCCTCCTCGGCTCTTACAACCACGCCACTGCCATCTGGTGATGGAAATTTCCTTTATTTAGTAAAGAATGTGACTCCAAATAAATCTTCACAAACAATGTCGTAAGAAAAGCTCTATATGAGTAAATTTCAATGTAAATGTTATATGTTTGTGGCGGATATAAACCGTTTTATTTTTGGTGAGATGAAAGTACAAACTATAAACAAACAACACAATTTTATGACATGATGACGATGTATCTGCACACTGCTCTGGAAAACATATTGCTATACTGACCGACATTTGATAAGGACATATTGGCGATTGTTATATCAGGTGCTGATTTTGAGGTGTGTCGACGCAAAACTACTTCTGCTGGTGGACAATCAGTTACTTTACTCCTCTCTGTAACGAATAATATGTTCGTCACTACATACAGACCATACCGGTGGGCCTTGTATGATTCTAAGTGATGACCTTCACGACTTCTTTCAGCATGGAAGCAATGGGACATTTAACTTACCTATTAGAATTTAGTATTTACATTTAATCATTACATATACTTAATGAACCCTAAGATACTTACCACACTACATGAGTTTTATTGTACACATGTCAAATCCTCTCTAGATAATGAACCTTGTTTTTTTTAATGCTTACCAATCTCTGTTGTGGAAAGGTTATATCTCGTTGTCTGTCCAGGGTACGTTACTGTTGATGGATGTAACCTTAATACCACTTCAGCCGGAGGACCCCCTGTCGCACCACTCCATTCTAAATCAAATGTCATTCTTTATCAGATAATTTACTGGGAATTTTCTATAATGTTTAATGTACTGAAGGTACTATTTATTTTTGTTTATAACTGGATATATGAATGTAGACAGTTTTATCTATATTACTATTTATAATGTACAACCCTCACCAGCTGAGATGCGGGACTGAGGAGTAGATTTACGGGAACTTATCTCCAATCTTGACTCCGTGACTGTTTCTGTGAATTTTATATTACAATAAATATAATCATATTTTTTTTACATCCTAAAAATAATATACAAGTAACATGTAGTTTTTAGAAAAAAATATTGTTTGTTTAATTATTTTTTAATCTTAATAATATATGTACTATACTTTATCAATTTTTAAAATAATTTTATGAAAACATTAATAATTACGATTTGATAAACTTAGGTTTTTTTTACTTTACTTTCTTGATATTGACTTATTATAACAGTGCCTAAAGAGTAAAGTGGTATTTACACTTTATTCAGAATCTTAAATACAAAATATACAAATGCCGTTATTCCTGCACCTTATCGGAAATTATCTTTCACGTATGAGAACAACCAAAGAGGACTTAGTCTTTGACTTCGAAGTTCCTAAACTTTGAACACTAGAAGCAGTTCTGGTTGGTTAGATTAATAAACTATTTGCAACTGAACAAAAACTCATGAGCTTTTGCTTGCCTGCGGTGAATTTAATTTAGATATTGAGTTTGTATCTATTTCCTACAGCAAACAATTTGTGTGTCTATATTCCCTTTTTAACTTTATGAACCTAATTATACCTTTCTATACTCTAAACACCGTTTGGTTGTATTTTTAAGTACGCTTTAAGACACGCTTCTACACTATTCTAGATTATGATTGCTAGCAAAGGTTATCCTTTTATCAAATGTTGCTCAATCACCTGTCATATCTAAATGATCCTTCCTTCCTTCACAATCAAATTCATATATTTCTGTCGTCCAAAGGTAAACCTTTTAACCAGTAACGTTAATACTCAGCAATTTCCCGTTTTATGCATATCATTTCTACGTACAATATAACCAAATCACGCAATTCTGTTGCCCATTGCTAATAATAGGCCAACTTATAAATTTTAAAATAATAACAATCCAAGTCTCCTTTTTAATAGGCATAATAATATTTTTATTCCCTTCTCGTTATTTCTAATGATTAACATAACTCCAATATGTTTATTGATGTATGTATATATAATATTTTTTATTTAAGTTTTTGGTGACCCTCCAGTCACAGAATAAGATGTCTTATTATCTAAGGTCTTGTATCTAAATCAGTGTTTAAGTTTTACTATATAAACCTACGTCTAAATATCAAGCAACAACAAATCTCGAACACTTAATACGATATTTGAGAAAATGACATCCTGAACTTGACAGTTTGTCGTAAAATAAGAAAAATAATCAAGCAAAAGCCTATAAAGCACACAACCAGGCTACAACATTCGCATCACGAATTCCTTTTATACAAAGATATATTCTGAGCGCAGTACGTTTTAAGTTCGATAAATACAAAGATTGAGATATTAATATTCTGTTTCAATTGAATACTCCGAAAATAGAACGGATTATTGAAATATATGACCTCGGAAATTAACATATTTTATAGTTGAAGCTTCAAAGATAGTCGTATAGTATATTATGTTAAAGTAAAATTTGTAAATTAAGCCCAAAAATTTTTATTATTCTCTGGTATAGTTTTGGTTGAGAAAGTATATTAAAAATCTAACTACAGACTTAAACATATAATTGTTTGATGATAATAATGTTTATTAAAAATGTGTATAACGATTTAGGGGACAGTTTTATAATTTTATTTAAATTTTCTTCATAACATTTATAATCAAATTACTAATATTTCAGGGTTCTAAATACATTTATATTTTGAAAGACTTACCATACCTGATACAAAAGTTTTACGCTCTCTATATAAAATCAAAATGTTTGACAAGAACTATTTACATTTAACAACCGCTGTGTGCCTGCACAGTTTTCATTGTATCTAGGTGTACTACGTGACGCATACGGAACAAATATAACGCTGAAAATCAGTCACGTTTCTAACAAACTTTGTAAAATAAATGAGACATGATATTTAAAAGTTTCTATGTTTAATGTACTCGTTACATGAGCATTAAGCATACGTCAAATGAGCTTTAATCTCGTGAACGTATAGTGATTTCTTACTAAAATAACAACGATTTATCTTTTTTAAATTAGATAAATAATAACAAAAACCGTAAAATTTTCATGTCTGTCTGTATTACTATAGTATAATGGACTTTATATTTTACTTTCACTGAATTTTCCCATTCCGAAATATTAAAATGAATTAATTTTTGAAACAAAAGGTTTAATGTTTCTGAATTCAAAAGAGTCAAATTATTTTTGTCATAAAAAACTTTACTATATCGAATTACAATTCCTACATCTCTATTTCAAGCATAAGATAACTACACATGATAGGCCCCAACCTAATCCTTATAAATCTTCCTTGAATCGGGGCGAAGCCACACGTTTACATGAGAATTAGAAATGCTTTCCTGCTTGAGTTTTTTCTTCAACATATTCATAATTTAGGTTACTTTACTACTAGACTAAAAGGAAGAGGTTAGTAGAACATAGAACGTTTACAACCTGAGACTTTATCACTATCTACCAGGCGATGGTGATTGGTATGCCAGTCGGATTCATATTTTTTAAGGAGAGAAATGTTCAATACTTAGGTATTTAAAATTTGTTTCTAACACTTTAAAAAACAGACATTAATAAATCTTGTAAAATAATTTAAATACAAGCAATATTTTATGGACTTTCAAATCTGATGCTAGACCAAATTATATTTCGATTATTGTTCAAGGTACGCTATGTGTCCTTGTGGCTTAAATCGATCGCAAAGGGCTTTAATAACTAACCTACCAGTTAGAAGACCTGGGTGAGAGATACTTGTAGCTATTGAATAAATTTTAAAAAAATCTATGACTGCAATTAATTTTTGATGCAAAGGAATGAATAATAAATGTCTACGTAACATAAAAACAGTAGAAATATTAGTCCAAACGTAAATCTCTTATTAAATAAAAGTAAGTCAAATCGAGTGATCTGTTTCGTCCCACGCAATAATGAACACAGTCTAAGGGCGTCTTATTGCTTCAATGCGTTTGGAATGTAGAATTGTAAGGAGACAATTTGAGGTAATTTTATTTTAATTTACCTTAAGCCTTTAGTAGTAGTAGTAGTTTTATTTATTACTTTTTGAAATATGTAAGCATTTGAAATAATATTTAATTTTTTAGCTAATCGATAGAAATATAAAATGCAAAACGAATTCAATGAAACACTATTAACAACTGTATAAAACTTATTCTTTATTATATTTATTTTTAAAGAAAATTCTATTTATTAATAAAATAAATTGTTTCTATCCTTTGAATGAATATAATTAGTTATTATCGCTTATATGTGTGCGTGTGCATATATTCGTGTCTGTTGGTCTATGAAATAGTAAGTAGATCATAAACGAATGAACTTAATTCGATACGATTTTTTTTTTAAACATTTTCCTTGCGATGGTTCTAGTCTATGTTTGGTTTATATCGATGCAGCGTTGTACGACTATCTACTTATTTCCAAAATTATGTAGATACGCCATTTTTAACTTATGATTAAATACCGTCTAGTATAGTGTTTGCATGACAATTAATGGATAGTTTTTTTTTCACCTATAAAGTTATATGCTTAAACAATTAACTAGTTTCTACTATATACTTATCTTACCAACTTGTCTTTTCGCTCGCTCCTTCTTCCATCTGTATCGTAGTTTCCTTTGGTTTGGAATTGTTCCTTTGCTTTTGATCCATTGACCTGCAGAAATTGTACAGCTATGAGAAAATTATATCAAAAAATTCTTTTAATACCATTACATCATAATTTATACAGTACAATAGTTGTAAACTAAAGATAAATTTGGCAATGAACATTTAGTGAATGCGATATGTAGCTTTTACGACCTGAAGCCAAAAAAAGCAAAAATAAAATTTTAAAAGCCATTTCAAACTCTGATATGGAAAAATTTAAAAATGAGTTTGATACATAAACAAAAAGCCTTTCCAGAATTTCAAAATTGTTGTAGTTTTATGAAATAATTCTAATTACTATTACATTCGGATACTACACATTTTTTATTATTTTATATCTGCATGATCCTGACCAGTCAGTTCCTTTACATGTCATCTGCTATTAAGATACGAAAACTAGGAATTACATAAATACAAAATCATAAAAAAGAAGCAAGCGAAAAAAATTGTTGCATTTATTTGTGTACACGCAAAAATCTTAGATATCATTATGTCAAAGTTTATTCCATAATTGCTAATATTATTGTTAGTGAGCATAAGCTTTAGTAAAACAATTGAACGTTGAAATTAAACAAATACGCTCCTTAATATAAATAATAATATTGACTTCAAGAGTAATGACAGTTCAAAATAAGTCAGTACTCTAATAGAAATAAAAAAATATTTAATTTACATGCACTTTTATAACTTTTTCTGACAATTTACAGATAATTTTGCTTTTGTATTAAAATCCTTTTAATATTTCTAAGTTAAAAGATACAAAATACAGTTTAACACGAGGTCACTCGTACATATTTAGATAAAACCTTTGCTTTCTTATATTATTCAATTATGGTAAATTTAATCTTCAATCACATCAAAAATTTTATGTTATTCCAAACGATACATAACACTAATATTAATTTAATAAAAAAATATTTTAAAACGAAACGTATTGAGTATTTGAAATATTTTAAGCTTTAAAAACATTTTCTGGTGTCGACTTATGTTAGTTAATATATAAATTTTAAACTTTCAAACCTTTCCAAGTGTTTTTCTTTTATTTTTACAGTTTATTTATTAAAATAAATTCTGTTAAATTTACGATATTATTGATTTTATATATAACAGTTATAAGTACATATACTTTCACTAAAAAAACTTAAAAGAGCAAAGAACAAGAATAAAAATTAAAACAAATTAAGTCTTAAAAGAAACTGCAGTGAGATTTAAAGAACTTTCAATAAAATAGAAATGAGGAAGACACTTAACATAGAACTTAGAATTAAAGAAACTCAGAGCAGTTGTTTTAAAAACTATTATTATATGAATCTCTTTCCTAAAGATACAAGAAATTTTAATTCATAAGAAATGAACACAAAAAAGTTATAAAAAGTTGTACAAAGATGAACATTTAACATTATACATCTGTATAATGTTATCTAAATCATAATAACAGTTATTTAAAAAAGAACTTTCTTAGTGAAACATAATAAACAATGAATAATATTTATATTCCAATATGTAAACCATTAATTTGTGTTTCCAAAAACCACAAACATAAACGCCACTTTGAAACGAACCCATTCAACAACTAATAATAATTTGGTTAGCAAAATGTATAAAAAGTTGCAATTTATATAATTTTTATTTGTAAATTTTTATTTATAAATAAAGACACAAACAATGTAAAGAAAGATTATATAAGAATATTAAAATATTAGATCTAATCTTAAAAATAACTTCTACCTATTTATAAAATACAAATATAATTATTTATTTAATTAAATTTATATTTTACATTTCTATTCATAATAATTATTCTTCTTTATTATTATGTTTAATTAGAGAACCCTTCACTGACACTACTTTATAGAGACTGCACTTAATATGCATATATTAAAAACACGACACTTCTTTTTACCATCTTGTTCGACTTGAAAGATGGCTACCTAAAAGAATATTTAATACTTTAAACTATTACATCTAAACAACACCACATACCGAATCAGTTGTATTCAATTATGACTTTACATTTACATCGATGAAACTTTATCTAAATTTTATGAGTAAGTTCCCGTCACGATACTTTCAAATAACATGTAAAGCAGCTTATTTTAAGAAAAACATGAATCGTAACCTTTTTTATCTTTATTTTTAATCATTTAATATAGCAATAGAATAATTTACAGTAACTATATCATAATACATATATGGATATATTCTATTTTTTTTTATTTATTTAAAAACTTTATTGTCTAACTACACACGTAGATACAAAAGGTGGACTTAATGCCTGAAGGCATTCTCTACCAGTCAACCTTTAGGCAAAGCAGAAAATCGTGAAGACGGTAGCAGTAAAAGTAAAAATATACATATAAATTTCTATTGATATATAAATAATATATACACATATATATAGATACATATACATACACATACATATACATACACACACATACCAATACATATACATTATATACCAAAAACAATAATAAAAACAGAGACTTAATACAGATTCTGAGCAAAATGTTCGTGTAAACGACGCCTGGAAAATGCCCTTGTAGGTGCCTTTCTTACTTCTAGTGGAAGGTTATTCCACAATCTGATAGGTTTTACAGAGAAGTTACAGACGATACCAGAGTGGTGGCTGGGAAAAGAGAGGAGGAGAGAGTCGTTAGAGCGTAGCTGTCGATCGTGATTGTCACAGAGAAATATAAAATTATCTTTTAAGTAAAGAGGAGATTGGGGATCAAAAGTAATGGAGAAAAAGACACCATAGACGTAATTCTCTGCGTTGGCGAATGGGAAGCCATTTGAGCTCTGCTCGACAGTGAGAAATGTGGTCAAATTTTCGAAGACAAAAGATAAAGCGTAAGGAGTTATTTAGGAGACGATCAAGTTTGTTCAATAGGGTTTCATTGAGATCAGGATAACACACAGTAAGAGGACTGAGAACTTTTACTCATATTTTTATTTTTTTTGTATAACCCTTTACCCTTTTCTTCTTCTACACCCCTAGACTATATAATGCATCTTATCGTTATGCTCGTTTTATATGTAATATTTATAGTGTTCTAAAAAGTTAAATATGACGCGTAATAACCTTACAAACAGTATATCAATACTATGTCATACTCGTATATCATTTAAGATCGCGCACCACAATAACGTTAGGAAACTAACTAGCTTCGACAATTTGTAATTAATATTGGCGTATCCTGGTAACATATGGAACAATATTTGGTTTAAATATATTGACTGTATAATTAAAATGTACTTAGGAAACACAACATTTTTACACTCTTAAAGTGTGAATATTTTGATCGTATAATTGTACAATAATTTTGTTACCTCTAAAAAAATTTTCCTAGTGCAAAGAAGCAACAAACCAAGATTGTACCAGAATATTGTTAAACAATATTCTTATATATAGAGATAATTTTCTTGTAGAAAAATTTCCAAATTCCAAGTTACTAATTTGATTTTACGTGTATGAGAATAATAAAACACATTACAATATATTTATCGATGACAACTTGCACCCCGAAAAGATTTTGAATAAAATCGCAATTATCAAACCAAAACTTACCACATAGGTCTTGTTATTTTACTCTAAAAGTGAAAAGCGTGACATTATAATAATATCCCAGCTATAATAATAATTAATCAAAGGTTCATTTTAATGCTATGTATGAATGAAACCGAATTAAGTCGTAAATATCTGATAGTATTTTCTCGGCAGTAAAACTTTAACAGTCACCCATATATTTTTTCCCATAACTATTATATGTTTTCCCATAACTATTGTATTGTATAAACAAATATTACAGTTAAGAAGGATTTATATTGGATAAAATTTTTCTTAGAGCCTCTTTAAATCATTAATAAACATGAACCATAACAAATGCCACTCTACTTTCAATTTGAGGACTTTATCCAAAAAAGGTATCGTTACTTAATTTGAGTTATTCTATATACAATCACATTCCTATACAATTTAATAGATACTTAAATTTTGTATTAAATAACTTATATGACTTTGTGAAAGTTAAAAATAGTGTTTCATTAAATTATCTGCAAATTATTTATCAAATGATATTGTGAATAAATAAAATGAATATTGCAATATGTATTTATACATCTAGGTTTTTCTTAACTGCATTGATATACACTTCTAACTCTATAGAAAGTATTTATTTTTTATGCCATATAGTTTAAAGCTTTTCTGTTTAAAACTTCTTTTAAAAATGATTATATTTTTTTTATACAATTCTTAGACAACATGTCATTACGAATGTACTTTATTGAAATTAATTTAATATCGTAAATTGTTTTTGGATTTGGATCCAGACCTATAAACCGTCCGTTACCGAATTTCGACTTCTATTCATCAAATTAATAGGAACCACTATTAACAGACTGAAATTAAATGATTTAAATAAGATAAAGCGTAAAAAAATCCTCAACAAAACACTCACAAAGTAATAATAAGATCCCAATATCATTAATAAATAACTCTACGTTGTCCAGAAAGAAATTATCTTGAAGTGTGTATAATTATGATAAAACACACCCGAAGTATTACTTTTGTACATTTCTACATTTAAAAAATGTACCACAAAGTTCACAATATTGTCTTTTTACGATGACAATATAAAACTACTGACAAATAATTAAATTTTATGTTTACATTCTCACTTAAAATCTTGAATAGAATGCAAATGAATTCGAATAAATATTCGCCTCTAGAGAGATTAACATTTAACTGTCAACTTCAGATTAAGTGAAAAATTAATTTGCTGCCAATATTTAAATGATTTTGAATTAAATTAAGGTTTGCGGATATTACTACGGACTTAGTTTCATTTAAATTAATACAAGAGAAAATCTTAATAGTCATTATTTAAACGATTTGTATAGAAAAACTATGGTCAATAACACTGTACGAATAATTCAATTTTATTCTTTGGTTTTATAACACAACGAATTTTTTCTAATAAACGCTTTCTGGTATCCTCCAAAATTTTTAATTACAATAAGTTCCGTTACTTTATGAACTCATATTTATACTATCAATAACATAAAAATCTAATATTTTTATGAATTTTTACAACTTATTATTGTTCATTCATTTATTAATACATTAGATATTTAATAAATAATTTAAAAAAATATATAATATGTTTAAGAAACGTTGTCAGGAATTCGTTTAAACATGCATTGTTTATAATTACCTGAAAATACAATTACGGTCCATATCCATTGATGGTCACAGCAACAGACGATAAGCAGTAATTCAATGTCACTGAACAGAAACAATTACACAAATGTCCAATTCCTAATCAACTTTCCACGTCTCTATTTTAATGTCATTAAGGCACTGGTATACTATTGTAATAGTTAGATGTATAAACAATGTAATACAGATCGCTGTACACAATTACGATTTCAACACTTTAAAACACAAAGACGTTCAATAAAAATGAGATCTAAGATTTTCGCGAGTTTTATTAATTTAAATGATACTAATATTTTTCGGATTATACTACGCGACTTTATTTTTGTAAAAAACTACATACTCCCGACGTTTCGGCTACTTTTCAGTAACCGTGATCATGGTTAGACGAGATGTGAATGTCTGTCAGTTGGTCTTGTTATTCATTATCTACCGCCATCAATTTCTTATTTTTCTGGCGTACCGCTCTGGATACCGGAAGAATGGGCTCTTGGTGTCCCGAGGACCTGCGGTGTGGTCACGGACATGGGATTTTATACTTTTAAGAAGAGGATACCTGGTGTTTGATAGATTCCAGTCATCTTTTCTATTGAAATTGGGCTGATTTTTAATTTCAATAGCCTCGCTGATTAACCTTGGTATATATCTGTATTCATGAGCGAGGATATGTGGTTTATCAAATCGAATGTAATGGCCAGGTTTGTCCAATGCATGTTCACACACTGCTGACTTCGACGCGCGCCTATTTTTATGTCTGAGATGTGTTCTTTAACCATTGTACCGATGCTTTTCTTTGTCTGTCCAATGTATGACAAGCCACAGCACAATCGAGTTTATATATACCAACTTGTTGTAAAGGAATGGTATGTTGATTGGTCTCAAGAATTGGCTCACTTTCTTGTGTGGTTTGTATATAGTCTTGATTGCAACCTTCTTCAAGATGTTGCCTATTCTGTCTGTAACTCCCTTCACCTATGGTAGTATCGCAGGTTGTCGCTCAACTGTGGGTGGCTTCAAGTGGCTTCATGTAATATTTAACTCACCACGTTAAAGCGGTAAAATATTTGAAATATGACTCTTCTGGCTCTCTTATATTTCAAGTTTTAACGTGTTTGATTTTCAAAACAATTAGGCAGAATTCAATATAAAAATAAACTTTTCTTTGTAACTTCCATGGAATTATAAAAGTACTTACAATTATTATTAGCGGGCAAACAACATGAAATGTTTATAAAACCTATTTATATTTGTACATTACGAATGCAAAACACAAATATTAACTTTAAGGGAACTGAAACCTTTTACGAGCTATGTCATTTGTGTACCATATAATTCATGACATGCTACTTTCCTTATATTCAATAATTTATAAGTACAACATTTATATTATCATGAAATTCCTATCGATTTATGAAATGTTTATAGGAGAATAATTTATGAAAACAGCCCAGAGTCTCGATATATAACTTGTAGAGGAATTTTTATTACTAAAACTAAAAACATTTTGAGAAACATTCGAGCCCGATCTAATTATATTTCGATTATTTTTCAGGGTTATTTGGGTGAACTCGTCGATTTTTAGATCGATGGAAATGGACGATTCATATCTCACTTATGGTAAATTATTTCGTTTATATATTTACATATATATATAACTAATTACTTGATATATCACTAGTAATTTTACTAAAAGCCTATAAACATACAGTAGAATATTGATGTAATATATTAATGTATATGGTCAGACTATCAGATATACACTTACCTTACAAAAGTGCAAATGACAAATGTTTGATTAGATGGGAAAGAAATGATTAGGTCCTACTTAAATCAACTCCTTGACACTAATTCTTATTAAAGATATGCAGAACGCTATTTTGATATGGTTCTTTGATATGAATACCTTTTTTTAAAGAGTTTTTCAATTATCCATTCAAGAATATCACCTTGAAGCATATTAAGTTAATTAATTAAATGTTATATATAAGGGAACCCAATTACGATAAATGTAAGAAAAAGCTTACGAGTATTTTGGGGTTTTTAATATAAAGTTTTTTTTTAACTTTAATTAAAACAAAAACAACTGTATAATGACGTCATTAGCTATAAATAGAAGTAAGAGAAATAGAGTAATGTGTCTCTCCACCCTCATTAATGAGTGGGGATTGAAGACAATTGGTTCAACAGCTCGGAATCACGAATCTCTTGAAAAGTAATTTATTTATTCCAAGTGTAAGATGATTATTACTTTTTTATTTTTACAAACAATTAACATTATAATAATTCAAGCGAGGAGACATGTTTTTTTTTGGAAAATCTGTCTATATAAAAGCAAGTCACCAAAAATAAAAACCACGTTTACTTTTTATATTTTTGTAAGGTTACTTATAATCCTGAATTAAAGTGATTATTTTACGTATAACAAAATCAATCAATCATTATTAATAGACAAGCAGACGACATATTCGTCAATAAATAAAGGTGATATTACATAATATGTTTAGGAAATTAATTATAGCCTTATATTTTATTTTTACATCTCAACAATTATACGGGAAATATGTAGTTATTTGGACATGATATTCATGTCTTGGAATGTCGACCTTTAATATATTTATTATAATGAACCATACTCTATTACAAAAAACTAAAGTGTTCTAAAACTGTATAATCTAACATTTAAGTAATGACATTTCAAATAGAGATGGTCTTTGTTAATCTTTTAACTTAATTAAAGCATTAAGTTCATAGTAAAATTTCTCAATCAGTAATATACTAATGTTCATTTGGTTATTTTTTTTTGTTTATTCATACAAAATTGTTTGCTTTCTACAATACCTTTATTTATTGTACCGCTTATTATGCACTTATTTTATAAACAATATGAAGTGCAACGCTAACTATATTCTAAATATCATCCAGAATTGATTTCAGAGCTCATAGAAAATATTATTGACTTAATATTGGCACTGAATTTTTACGCTTTAAAGAAAATCTAAATCGAAATTAAAAAACGATACACTAAATAATAATAACTTTAAAAGCTTATGATCAAAAATGTATTTAGATTAACCAATCCTGGCTTTACAGAAGTTTAAAAAATATAACCAATAGACTACCTCAAGTAGAAGTTACTTTTTCAAAATACTTTCATGTCATTACATCACATCATTAATCATAATCTAACTGTATGACCATAGATACAACACACTGTCAATCACTAACACTGACATGGTACCGACGTTATTATATTTAGGAAATTAATTACTATGGAATTCAATTACTTCTGGTTGCAAAGTAATTAATTTACAACGTCCTTTTGTCCCATACGTATTAACACAAACACAGTTATGGTTGATTGGATTATTTTTTGTAGCATTTCATTATATATAAATTCAAACGAAAGAAAAACAAGATATGTAGAACACCAGTGATAAAAAATATACGAACAATATGAACGTGATTATTTTTGTTTGTAAAAAAATTGTAATAATGTAATTTGATACATCTTTTAATTAATTCTTACCCACTTGTCTTCTCGCCCTTTCCTTTTTCAAGTGGTGGTTTTCTTTTGGCATCCGGAGTGTTTGGGTTCTAGGGATCCAATGGTGTCCTTAAAATAAAGTAGTAGATTATAATAGTGCGATATCAACATTATATTTTTAGATCACATTATTTTGAGAATAACAAAAATACAAAATTAAAAATAACAGTAAATTATGTTGACTACAGCCGGAGGTTCCAAAGAAACCAAAATTTACTTATAATTACTTTATTCTAAAGACGACTTATCGTTACATGATTGAACGAAGAAGTAATTTTATAATTTTAAAACTGATTTACAGCATTCGGTGTTTAATTTAATAATCGGTTCAGCATTCGGTGTTTAATTTAATAATTTTATGTCGCATAACATTACAAGTATCTAAATATTATTCGATCCATGGTTATTTTATTAATTTATTAATTATGAGTGGTGCTTGTTGATAAAGTTTGTGGTAAATAAATCTATTTGGACAAACAGTTTGGGTTTTCTTATAAATCTTTAAAAAGTAGAAAATATTGACTAGAATTGTGTTCCTTAACTTGATAAATAATAGTAAATATGAATATTATAATAAAGACCGTGCATTTAGATAGAATTTTGCTACTAAAGATTCATAAATCATCATCAAAAATCTATACATATAATCAACATATAAACTAAGCCATTGCTATCATTTAATATTTTTTTGTGCTTCATTTGTCACAAAAACATATTAGGGCATTATGTGTTAAAAGGAAAATAACGACCCGCTGTTATATGCCCATTATATAGAGATTGAAAAATTGCCCTGACAGTAACAACAAAGATAGGCCCAACTACTATATATGTTACATATTGCGGATAATAAATTTCACACTGTACATTAAGTGTGTGATAACTCGCTTTAACGATCTACAACAGAAATAAATTTTAGACCGGAGTCATTATAACTAGTCCAGTTAATTGAGAAATTTGGTGTAAATATGAACAGGTATTGTGTTATAATTTTAAAGCTGAATATTAGACATGAGATAAAGTCTTTTAAAACAAAATTAATACGTTATTAAAACTCATCTTATAAAGTTTTAAGAAAGGTGAAAGGCAAATAAAAAAGTAAACTGAGAAAACGGCAATAATATTTGTGACTATTATTATACATTTTTTTTTAAGTTAATACTGCATTAGTCCAAACAATGTTGTAATGTAAAGACATGGATATTTTAAAAGATACAGAGAACTACGAAAAATACATGAATCTGTTTTTATTGATAAATTAAACAGGCATTTAATGCTTACGAAATTTATAGAATGTTATACTAAAAATCATATTTAGAAATAAATTTAGAAAAAATCATTAAATTAATTAAATGTATTGATTGATTTGCTTAAAATATGGTCAAAACCAGGCTTGTTCTATAAACTTTCTACTGTTTATCAACTTACCTGATGTAAGTATACCTTTATTCTTCACATTTTTTTATTATTATTACACGAATTCTTGACTTAATACATTTTTAATATTTTCGCAAATAGATTATTCCCGCAGAATATATACATATATTATACTTATTTACTTTATATTATTCTTTAATCTATGAGAATATACATATATAAAATTGTCTGTATATATTGAAAAATTAGGCTTGGATTTGTCTCTTTCTTGTTTTTTCATGTTAACGTTACACGAAATTATATTTACGTTATAATAATAATAAGAAATTATTTAAAGTTAAAGTTAAACCAATTATAAAAAGTATTTCAAAAACGTGTGTCAAATCCTTTAATGAATAGACAATTTATTTTATACGGATTGTAACTCATAAAATATAATAAATGAAAGGAAAACATAACAAACAACCTGTAATGTTCATTTTTGTTGAGAGCCAAATGATAAAATCGTGTACAAAAATATCTAAGAAGATTACTTCTTATCAGACTTGTAGTCTTTCATTAATATTTAATACAAGAAAGTATAAGCAAAAATTGTTTAAAATAAAAACGGAATAAGAACTAATGAGATCTAAGATATGTAGAGTATGGGGAGTATGTAGTTTTCTAATCAAAAATAAAACGCGAAGTAAAATCCAAAAAATATTAGTTTCATTGGAATAATAACTATTTCTTGTATTTTTTATAAGTCTACGGTGTATATATTTTTGTTTGAACTCACTTACATCTAGCCCTTTCATGTGTAATTTAAAATATACGACTATATATAAGCTCTAAATCTTTCAAGATCTAGGTGATGAATATATGCATGATTTATTTTAGTATTCTATTTTAATTTGTAGTCTAGACTCCAGACTAATTAATTCATGAAAGGTTTAATAATAAAATTATATATTTATATATACCGTAAGTAATTTTGTTTATTAGTATTTCACATATTATTAGTATTTAACAATATCTTGACAAAAAGGAAATAAATAAATAAAAGGACAGAAATCTTAAGAAAAACTAAGAATAGTTATGTAAATTAAAATAAAAATATATTTTATTCAATTCACGTTGAAAATTGGACGTGTAAGGTCAAGAAAATACAACATACTTACATCTATAAATCACAAAAACTGTCGTAAATTTTTTTACAAAAAAATCAAGCATACTTAAACATTCAAATAAATTAATTAGCACAATTTATAGAATAATGTATTTAATTGAAATAAACAGTAAAAATATTATAAAAACGTTATACTAATGAGTATCTTCGCAATTGATTTGAATAATACGTCTAATCTTCTACCTGGCAATTTCCCAGCTTTAGCCAGGGTCTGCCTGAATAATAAATCCTGAAATCTTATAATTATCGACTAAAGAACCAAAATATTTTATATGTTTGTTGTGTTAAGTGAATTCATTATAATTAATGGACAATTGTGTCCATATAGTATACTTTATCATTGTATACAGGCAATAACTTCAATTGATGATACATTGTAAGACCAATGCAATAGATTCGCAATCGTCTTTCAATTTATTGGCAAATAACAATAGATTGTACATGTACCTATAATAGGTATTACATTAACGTGAGTTGAACCTAATTTATAATGTTATTTAATTTAATATTGTGAATTAAATAATTTCAAAACAAAAGTACCCGAGGTATATATGTATATAAAGAAAATACTTCAATAAGAACTCTCAAATTTGATGAAAGAATAAGGGATAAAATATTTGGAAACTACTTTGTAAAGGTTTTTATTATACCGAAATCATTTTTTAAATTGCTAAATTATATTTTATGTGCCATTTTTTTTGTTCAAATATATATATATATATATATCTTCTATATATACATATAAAAATGGATTGCTGTTTCTTAGTCTCGCTAAAACTCGAGAACGGCTGAACTGATTTGGCTAATTTTAGTCTTGAAATACTTCTGGAAGTCCAGGGAAGGTTTAAAAGGTGAGAAAAATTGGAATAATTGCCGGGAATATCCTAAAAACAGCTCTTTTCTATTTCCCATACAAACGTTTTTTTTGACATTAGATTTGACAACTAACTAATATGTCAATCATTCTGTTTGATTGAAACAGGAAAAACCTGATTATTTATGGCCTCTAAGACGGAATAGAGTTCGCCTGGTCAGCTATACCTACATATATTACTCTTGACCAAACTAACGCGGACGAAGTCGCGGGCAAAAACTAGTATATATATATATATTTCAAAGTATAAGTTACAGCTGTGATAGGTATATTACGTTTTAAGTCATATGGCAGTTTAAAAAATATGCAAATGTTGAAAGCTTGATAAAGCTTAGAACCTTTTTGGATGAAGCGTTTTTTGACTCCGCTTTCAAATAGCCGATATCAGATAGATAGATAGATATTTTATCTGTGTTAAACCCAACCTCATACTAAGAATTCTTTTAAAATATTTTTTCAATATTTTTAACAAATCATTCTCGATATATTTGTAAAACTAAGCATGTAAAATAGAAAAAGAAATGAGAAATAATTATGGGATATAATAATATTATTAAATAAAATAACTTAACCCATTAACGGTTCTGTGAGCCAAAATTTATAAAACAATTCTATAGAAACTGATGTCTAGTTAGACAAGTGGATTGTAAAAAGACAACAGTTCAAATGATACTTATTCTTCTTTAAAATGTAATAGTTGAGATTTACTCTAAATCCTGAATACATACATATAAACAACAAAATTAATATTAAAAAAAAAATGTATACTATTGACTGATTAAAAAGAAATTATGTTTATATTCTGTAAATAAACTAGTAGACTTATAATAATATTACTAGTTCCTACGGTATCCTATGATCATCCTCAAGACTTTCATTAACAGAAAATTATTAAAGAAACATTGAATGAGAATTAAAGTTTATACGCATATATCAGAAGATTTTTCACAACCCCTCCTTAAACCACACTTTATAACGCCACTATCTATGATTATATCACCATCATTTCTAGTCAAAAGATGTCGACTTGGCGAGCTTAGATAGAAAGCCTCCGCAATACGATACGATTATCGCAGCATGGAGAAGGCTAAGAGTTTCTCCAAGATATTGAATGCAAAAGAAACGAGATATGTTAATAGATTAGGACAGATTAGTGACAATTCAAATACATCTCAGAAACAACAGCTTGAGCGGATAAAATAATTATCTAAAATAAAATAAAGATCAGTAAACAAAGTATGATACCATGACTTATCTTATTAGAAACAATATATTTTAATTTTTAACCACAATTCCCTCAAAGAAACCTTTCAGTAATGTGTTATTGGAAATTGGAAACCTTGAAATTCCAATTAATTTCTATTCTTCATTTAATTACCTTTCTGTATGGGAACAGTTTATATAAGCTTGTCATATTAAAACTAGATTTCAATTATACGAATGAAATAGAGTTGTATAATTATTACCTGGTTAATAGAAACTTGAAACTTGACGAAATTCTGACTGAAATCAATAAATGTTACATGGAGACGATACCATATATTTTATCAGATATACATACAATATTCTAATATTGCGGATAAAAAAGCCCCGAAGACAAGAAAACTCTTTAGTTTAT